CTTGGTCAGAGGGCACAAGGCAGTGCCCTGAACATAATCTAAGCTCAAAAAAGAGGAAATAAAACCAAAACCATCATGTGCTATTGAGATTAAAAGGAAATGAGATCAAGCTACTGCTTATGAACCCAGTTTACATGCCAGCATAATAAGGGAAGGCAACTCAACACATCTGCCACCAATTAGCACATGACTTTGGCCAATTCTAACTGCTCTGTCACTACTTCCCCATCTGTGCTAATCAAGGAGAGAATCAGATCATCTCTCTGGCCCCTTCACAGTTCTAAACCATTATAATATAACTCAATTTATACCGGAAAAATATGGTAGCAGTGAGAAAAAAAATTAGGAAATCTAAAAAGAAACTTAAAGAGATGCTCTGACTGGCCCCATTGACTTTTCATTAAGATTCTCTACAAAAGTCTTCCTTTATGAAGAATCTTGTATTTCCTTACAGGGGTCCCCATCCAGTCTAAGGAAACAAAGCAAAGACAAAATCAGCGTCTAAATTTTGACATTGAAAAGGCAGGTATGGGTCATCAAAAGACAGACTTACAATGACATGTAACTCATGAATTCATAGTACTCTATGCTAGTTCACACAATTCTCAAAGATTTAGGCAGCGCCTAAAAAATTTACAGAAAAATAAGCAACTCACAGGCCAGCAAGTGACCTTGTAACACTACCTTGTAATGACATGCAAAAATTGTGGCGTGAGTACTGCCTGCTGAGACTTCTCAGGATACTGGTAGACCGACATCAATTCAACAGATTTCACAACCATGTAGAGATAGCCCACATGAGGTAATGAGAAAAAGCAAAAGAGACTCAGCAATTCTTTTTCCTGAGACAAATTTTTTCCATCAGAAGTAAGAGGACCTGCATGCAAAAATGAAAGAAATAAAACACTATGAAACCAGTAAATAATGGGAAATAATCATATCTTGACTTTGCTATGCAAATTCTTATCAGCGGGTAACCAAAGAGTTGCAAGGGGAAAGTTGCTCTTTACAGAAGAATGCTGATAAGAAATAAAAAAAGGAGTAATATAATTAGAATAATTTAGTAGGGGTGCAACCCCTACTAAATTAACAGATCTATGTAATGATCATCAATGGCTGTTAACATCACAAAAAGAGTCCACTGGCAGAGCTCAACACTACTTGTGTTTCAAAATAATAATAATAATAAATAATCTGAGCAAGCCTGAATATAGACCAGCAATGTCGATAGAAATATGTGAGCCAGATCTGTAATTTAAAAATTTCCAGTAATCTTATTTTAAATAGTAAAAAGAAACAGGCAAAATTTTAATTATACTGTATTAACCCAACGTACCAAAAATATTACCATTTCAAGAAGCAATAAACAAAAAAATTAATGATACTTTATGTATTTTTGTACTAAGTCTTCGAAATCAAATGTGCATTTTATACTTATGCTATATCTCAATTCAGACTGGTGACATTTCAAGTGCTCAATAGCATGTAACCAATGGCTACCACACTGGACAGCATAGATTTCCATCTACCAACTCACATGGAAATACAGTGGATACAGAAACATGTTAAATGACACTGCAAGAATTCAATTAGAAAAATTCAGATTGTGGGAAGTTTTACAGAAAGAGTCTAATTTCTTGTTAAATAAGATAGAGAGGAGGGAAAGCCTATATATTAAAAGACATAGCAATCGATTGCAATGTATGAACTTTATTTGGAATGACTCAAACAAATGAATTGTAGTAGNCAAATAAAAGAGAGAGGAGGGAAAGCCTATATATTAAAAGACATAGCAATCGATTGCAATGTATGAACTTTATTTGGAATGACTCAAACAAATGAATTGTAGTAGTTTTTTAGTCAAGCAGAGAAATGTAAACCCTTACTGAATATCTGGTGATATCAACAAATTTTTTTTTAATGGGAAATAGCATTCCAGGTTTAAGTAAAAGAATATACAGAGGCATATGTTGAAATATTTTATGGATGAAATGATATGAACTCTGGGATATGCATCAGAATAATGCAGCATACAACAACACCACTGAAGCTGTTTGATGGGTACATGGGGGTTCACTGCACTGTTTTGTATCTACGTGTAGGTGTAGTTTTTCATAACCAAAGTTGTTTAACAAGTACACTGACTGACACCCTTCAAGGATACCAATTAACAGCAGAAGTCCAATTCTGAACTCTCCATATTTGGCTAAAAGCCAAATGTCCAGTTTTTTTCTTATTCTTTTTTTTCCCCACACATCTGTGCTATGGTCAAAGAGAACTGTTCACTAATCTCCAAATACACATGACACTTTTACACACATGTAATGTTGGTTCCCATTATGTAATATCTTACAGAAATCTGCATCTTCTAAAAATTCTACTCATCCATTAGGGCCCAGCTCAAATACATACCACCCATCCATTTGTCTATTCAGTCAATATTCATTAGGTATCTACTAAGTGGTGCTGTTCGAGGTTCTAGGGATACAACAGTGTACAAGATACTGTAACTGCTTTCACAGAGCCTTCATTCTAGCGATGGGGATTGGGATGTAGAGTAAACAAGTAAACTCCAGTGTGATAGGAGAAGGGGCATTTTAAATCGAGAGGTCAGAGAAGTCCTCCATGATGAGGTTACACTTCAGTTGTGAACTGAATGACTTAAATGCACCAGTCACACAAGATCTGAGGGAAGTACACTCTAAGCACAAGAAGTGAGAATAATAGGTCTTAGAAAAGAGTGCATGTGGCTTACCTAAGGCAGAAGGAAACGCCACTATGGATGAAAAACAGTAAGCAGGGTGACTGGGACAAGATGGGCTCAGAATTAAGGTCATGTAGGTCACAGAATGGATTTGGAGTTTTTATTCCAAGTGCTATGGGAAGCTCACTGGATCTTTAGCTGATCCCCTAATATGGCTATTGGCCCTGTCTGGTCTCCAGCCCTGTCTCATTGCCACCCCTTAGTTTTGCTTCTCTAAGTTTCTCAAATGTGATTCTCCCTCTACCACAGAGCTTTTGCTGCTGCTTCTGTCTGGAAGGCTCTCTTCCCCTCTTCCCCTTCCCTACACCAACCCTTATTCCCAAGTCAGTCCAATTTACTTTTCAGATCCTCTTTCTCAGGAAGCCTTCTCTGACCTCAAGATGAGGTCAGGGTCTTTTGTTATAGGCTCTCATAGGGAGGTTTACAACAGATCACTCATTGCAGGGTGGAACTGTGAGTCTCCCATTATTCAACTGTCTCCCTTCCCCCATTAGACAATTAGCTCAGTAAGAGCAAGTGCTTCACTCTCTATTAGTTCCCTAGCATTCAGCACAATGCCCAACATAGTAGATACTCAATAAATATTTACCAAAAGAAAGAAAAAAATAAATGAGGGTTAGAAAGACATTTAATCAGAATAATATTTGTATCTTTCTCTAGATAACATCTAAAGATGTTAATCAGGTCAGAAGTGAGTGCAGGCCCTATTAGTGATTCTCAATCATGGTGCTCATTAGACTCTTCAGGAGCTTTTAAAAAATACTGATGCCCAGGCCCTGTAACTGATATCCCGCATGTAGAGCCTGAGCATCAATATTTTTTAAAAGCATTCTGGTAAGTCCAATGTGTTGCAGGGTTGACAACCACTGTTCTAAATTATTTCCCATTCATTCCACATTTTCACACCTTGTTCACAAGGCCATCATAAGACGCTTTGCCAAATACCTAGCTAGAACCCAGATATACCTCTGCTCTAACTTTTTGGGCCCACTGGCCATTTCAAAAAGGGAAATAAGTTCAGTCTGTCATGCCCTCTCCATGGCTTCTCCTAGCAGGTATGAGTTCCCTTTCTAGTACTCACAGGTGTTGGCTAAGAACTTTGTCAAGAGCCACAGGGAGACTCAGTGGAAGAACCAAACGTATTACCCACATGGGTCTCCACTTCCAGCCCAGGCAGAGCATTTTCACCTTGCTGTACTGTCACACTCCTGCACTGTCATACTTACCAGTCTGGTAAATGGGCAGCAGCTGGAGGGAATGCAACTTGATGTCATCAGACAAGCCATAGGACGAAATATCAGGAGCAAAACGTCTGTTTGTTTAAAAAGACAGAGAAAGAGAAAAATGTAACTTCCATGTACTTTAAGCAGGCATATACATATATACATATGTATATATATGTGTATATATATATATATATATATATGTATATATACACACACACACACAGTTAAATGTTGGTAAATAAAAAGCTCTATCATACCTATAGAGCAGGTGCTGAAAGTGGGAATATTTTCTTTTTTCATCAGCTAATCCCGTAGACTCCAGTGTAACAGATAATCCAGACTGTTCACTTTTTTCACCAAGAAGTTCCAGGGGCTTCTGGCAGATAACAAAATCTGACTCAAGCTGTGAAATTTCATTACTGATGCCTTCAAAAAACAAAATGTAAGAGTTCCGCTTGAATGAAAATTAGATTTCATAACATACTCTCACCAATTAAATAGATCTATAATAATTTTATTTATAAAATTATTTAAATATTATTAAAATATTTACAAGGCACTATGGCTGTGAAGTCTTAGTGCTTGCTCATTTAATCTCCACAACAACTGATAAAGTACAACAGGATAGGTATTATCTTCCCCATTTTACACATGAGGATATTGAAACTCAGAGATGGTATAATTAACCCAAGGTCATTCAACTAGTAAATATGAGGACCAGGACTAGAAATCCCTTATCTAGCAGCGGTTGTTCCATTACTTCCACTGACAAATATATTTACATGCCACAAAGTAAGACACGGACAGCCAGATCATAAACCCAAATCCCAAGAAATAGGAATAATGAAATCTATAAATAACATGGTCAGGCCTAATATATACCGCGGCCCTTCAGACTGCCAAAGGTGAAGGTTTTCCCTATTCCTAAAAAGGAAAGCAAGTCAAATTCATTATTTACCTTCTTCTGTCCGTCTCATTTGATCGTTGGTCTTATGTGGATGGTGGTGAACTCTCTCTCCATTTTTAGGGCCTGACTCCAGTTTTAGGATTAAAACTTCTAAGTCTGACATGACAGCAACATATCCAACACAAAAAGAAATCTCGACAGGAGTGATATTATCTATGTGTATAACTAAAGAACGCTCAAAGTCCAATAGTGAGAATTCCTCATCAATGATCTGGTACTTCAAACTAAACAAGACTAATTTATTTGTGCAGCCAACAAGAAGGTCTCCTTTCACAGGGCAACAGGAAATGCACAAGGGGGCCTCTGAGAGTGGCATTTCAACAATGTACATCTGGTCTCTGAAAGCTCCGCTGAAAGGTCCGTCCACATTATGCCCAATCATTCGGATACACACACGAGAGTTTTCAGTCCTTTTATTTCTCCAGTTCACATAAGCACGTAGAAATGTAGCTTTGTTTTTCTCTTCAATTGCTACCAGATAATCTCCTGAGAAGAAATAAAGATTATACTTAGAATTTGTGATTAGAAATACAACCACCTCCCTTGCTGACATGAGTACTATTAATGAATTCTAACACAAATGGTTGAATTAAAGATTGAATAGAGGCCGGAAGCATTGGCTCACGCCTGTAATCCCAGCACTTTGGGAGGCCAAGGCAGGCAGATATCTGAGGTCGGGAGTTCGAGACCAGGCTGATCAATATAGAGAAACCCCGTCTCTACTAAAAATACAAAATTAGTCAAGTGTGGATTACTGGCATATGCCTGTAATCCCAGCTACTACGGAGGCTGAGGTAGGAGAATCGCTTGAAACCAGGAGGCGGAGGTTGCGGTGAGCAGAGATCATGTGACTGCATTCCAGCCTGGGCAACAAGAGCGAAACTCCATCTCAAAAAAAAAAAAAAAAGATTGAATAGAATAAAACCCCAAGTAATAAAATCTTAGGTGTATTTTTAACTGACATACTGACATTAGGCTTTGAGGTTCTGAAATGCAATCTCTCCCCATTTTAGTGTCTTAAGACAACCCATTAATTGTCCACGGAACATTTTATTCATTATATTAAGTGTTCACTGTAGCTCTAAATCTGTAGTTCCAACAAAGCTCTAACTGACAGAGTTCGCTACTACTGTGACATTAAAATTAGGTATACATTAAGGAACTCTCAGGAGTTGAACTTAGACTTCAAACCCTCTCCTTCCAACAAATCACAAGTCTGAGAAACAAGATAAAGTTGGAAATGCAAAGAAAATACAAATCCAAGTAAATTGTAGATTGTATAAGTTTTAACTTATAAAAGTAACATACATTGGTCATGAGAATTCAAAAGGGTAAAGTGTATAAAGTGTATAAAGGGTATATATCCAAAGGATTATAAATCATTCTACTATAAGGACACTTGCACACGAATGTTCATTGCAGCACAGTTTACAATAGCAAAGACCTGGAACCAACCCAAATGCCCATCGATAATAGACTGGACAGGGAAAATGTGGCACATATACACCATGGAATATTATGCAGCCATCAAAAACGATGAGTTCGTGTCCTTTGTAGGGACATGGATAAACCTGGACACCATAATTCTCAGCAAACTGACACAAGAACAGAAAATCAAACACCGCACGTTCTCACTCATAGGCAGGTGTTGAACAATGAGAACACATGGACACAGGGAGGGAAGCATCACACACTGGGGTCTGTTGGGGTGAAATGGGGGGGACAGCAGGGGGTGGGGAGTTGGGGAGAGAGAGCATGGGGAGAAATGCCAGATATAGTTGATGGGGAGGAAGGCAGCAAATCACACTGCCATGTGTGTACCTATCCAACAATCTTGCATGTTCTTCACATGTACCCCAAAACCTAAAATGCAATAAAAAAAAGGGTAAAGTCGTAAAGAGATGCAAAATGAAAAGCATAATGATCTCCCCTTTGAGGACCCAATGTTAACATGCAGCCTGGTATGTGCCTTTGAACACCTTTCTGTCTTATAAACGGAGATCACAGAGCACTATTTTGTCTTTTTTAAAAATAAACAAAAACTAAAATGTAATCACATTAAATATATTTAACAATCTGCAACTTTAAAAAATTATTAATAACTCTCTCCCTCCAGGCTAATACATGGATATCTAACATCCTTTTCAGTATGTTCAACATCCCATATATACATAGGCATAATTTATTCAACAATTCCCCACTGATAAACATTCAAATATATGTCCAGGATTTTTTGTTTGTTTGCTTCTTGTTGTTGATGTTGTTGTTTTTTGCCACTATGCTTCATAGTAATACACAGGCCTGTATCTATATATTTATTTACTGGGGGATTTATTTTAATGGTACAGATTCCCAAAAGTGACAATGTTGGGCCAAAGGACATGAGCATTTTACATTTCAATATTGTCAGATTACTATCAATTAGATAATAGAAATTCATGTCACCAGCAGGACTGCTTACACACGCCTGTTTCCTCATATTCTTACTAGGACTGACTCTACACAACGGGAGAAACATGGACTCTCATGGTTATTATAATTTACATTTCCCAGCTCTTTTTATAAAGCTGGCCATCTTTTCCTGTGTTTATCAGCCATGTATAGTTTCTCTTCTGCATGCTGTCCAATTTTTACTAAGTTGCTGATTTGTTTTTCTTATCATGGAACTGTAGCTCTCTGCTTAAAAAGGATGTTAACCTTTTGTCATCCATAAATAGTAAATAGTTTTGCGTAGTCTATTGTCTGATTTTGACTTTGCTGATGGCATCTTTTACCTTAACATTTTTATTTAGTGCTATAAGTATCTTTTGCTCTTTGCCTTCTGAGTTCCTAACCATGTCCTCCAAATTACATAAATATGCCCCCTACATTTCCTTCTATTTCAGTGGATTAAATCTAAAGATTAAAAAAATATTCTTTTTTAATCTTCAGAATTTTGTGAGTAAGGAAGGGGATAAGTCAGAGGATCTAACTTCAGTTCTTCCAAATGTAGGCTCTATTATATTAACACTATTAAGCAAATAGGCCCTTTTCCAATGAATTGAAATTGAAATGCTGCCATTACATTGACTTCTCATGTACTTATGAGGCAAGCAAACAGGTGCTGCTCCTTTCTGTGGACATTCACTGGGCTGACCAGGCCCCCTCCTCCAAAATGATCCTGTCTTCTAGAGGTAGCAAGCTTTCTCCTGATGATGGTGTTTTTTTTTTTTTTTTTTTTTTTTTTAAAGATGGGGTTTCACCATGATGGCCAGGCTGGTCTTGAACTCCTGACCTCAGGTGATCCACCCACCTCAGCCTTCCAAAGTGCTAGGATTACAGGCATGAGCCACCGTGCCCGGCACATGATGGTTTTTTTTATGCCACAGACATGGAGCCTGAACCTGTTCTGTCCCTGGAATCTTGGTAGAATGCCTAGAGATCCTACAGGTGCCTTAAGTTTGTTCACTTTTACAGAGAAGCAGTTTGGACAGCGTTGGGATAAAGTTGAGGCCTCCATCTTCCTAAAATTCTCCCAGTAAATAAATTAAAAAATTTTTAATTGTAGTATAATACACAAAACATAAAATGTACTATTTTCACCATTTTTAAGTCTACAGATCAGTGGCACTGGTATCTTCTCATTGCTGTGTAACCATCACTACCATCCATCTCTGTAACTTTTTCCTCTACGAAAAAACTCTATTCCCATTAAACAATAACCTCCTATTCCTCCCTCTCCCCAGGACGAGGCCACCATTATACTTTCTATCTCTATGAATTTGACTACTCCAGGTACCTCATATAAGTTGAACTATATAGTATTTTTTCTTTTGTGTCTGGCTTATATCACTTAGAATAATTTCTTCAAGATTTATCCAGGTTGTGGCATGCATCAGAATTCCATTGCTTTTAAAAGCCAAATAATACTCTACCATATGTTTATTCAATTTATTTACTCATTAACCTGTCAATGGATCCTTGGACTGTTTCCACCTTTTGGCTCTTGGGAGTAACGTTGCTACAAACATTGGTATACATGTATCCATTCAAGTCCCTGTTTTCAGTTCTTTTGGGTATACACCCAGAAGTGGAATTGCTGGATCATATGGTAATTCTATATTTAATGTTTTGAGAAATTGCCATATTGTTTTCCACAGAGGCTGTGTTATTTTAGATCCCTACCAGCAAGGTAAAAGGGTTGCAATTTCTCCAAATTCTTCCTAACACTTGCTAATTTCTGGTTGTTGTTTTTTTTTATAACAGGCATCCTAATGGGTGTGAGATGCTATCTCACTGTGGTTTGGATTTGCATTTCCCTAATGATCAGTGATGTTGAGCATCTTTTCATATGTTTTTTGACATTTACATATCTTCTTCTTTGGAAAAATGTTTATTTAAATCCTTAGCCCATTTTTTAATCAAGTTTTTTTGGTTGCTGTTGAGTTGTAAGAGTTCTTTATTATATATATTCTATACATTAATCCCTTATGAGATACATGATTTGCAAATATTTTCTCCCATTCCATGTTATCTTTTCAATCTGTTGATAAGAGTCTTTTGATACACAAGTCTTTAATTTTGATAAAGTCTAGTTTACCTATTTTTCTTCTGTTGCCTATACTTTTGGTATCATATTCAAGTTAATAAATAAATTTTAAAACTAAGAATATTACAATAAACCTTTTTATTCATGTACCTATACATGTCCATTTCACCTATAAAATTCGTATATTAACTAATGTTGATAGTCTGCAAATTGTAGATAGTGCCCATGTGGTCTTGTGTTTTTCCAGATTAATGACTTGGTCTTTAAATAATCCAGCACTTGCTAAGTGTGCCTACCTGACAATCCTTATGATCAGAGCTTTAGAGTTCCTTCAGTTAATCCTCACAACAGCCCTTCAAGATATATATATCTCCCTCCTCATTTTATACATCAGGAATCTGAAGCACAGACAAGCAAAATAACTTGCCTACGGCAACACAACCAACAAATTAGGAAACTAGGACTCAAACCTAGATCTGTTTAGCTCAAAAGTTTATGTTCTTTGCCCAATAATGCTGTTTCCCAAACTGACAAAAGGAAGAAACAAGTCTACAGGAGTCTGTGGAAGCTATAACCCTTTAAAAGAGAAGGGAATTAATATTTTTAAGCACTATGTGTACAGTGCCTCATTTTACCCTTTAAAAATTTTTTTAGACAATGTCTTGCTCTGTTGCCCAAGTTGTCTTGGCTCACTGCAACCTCCACCTCCCAGGCTTAAGTGATCCTTCTACTTCTGCCTCCCAAGTAGCTGGAACTACAGGTGTGACCCACCACACCTGGATAATTTTTGTATATGTATGTATATGTTTATATGTATAAACAGGGTTTCACCATGTAGTCTAGGCTCAGCTTCTGTCTTTATTAAGTAAACTGAAAAATCATTCCCATTTTTATTCTTGAGCTTAGAATTATTGATTTTTTTAAATAAGTAAACTTTCCCTTTTATAGCAAGATCACA